TGCTCCTATAACTTTGCAGATGGGTGTCTTCTGTCTGGTGACCTTCTCCTTGTGCCCCAACAGGAGAGCAGGACTCTGACTTGGCGGGAGATGAGTAACTTTCCTTAACTAGTGACCTGCAGAGCCCAGGGGACAGAGAACCACAGTGGGTAAATTCCCGGTGGCACCGGTGGCCGTCCCAGGGGAACTCACAGAGACCTCACCACTCCCTGTTCCCTGCAGGCACTGCTCACTCGTCATCGAGCCCACAAGCTGTTTTCTCTTCCCCAAGGGTGAAGCCACACCTCCTTCCAGCCTGACAGAAACAAGGAGCTGAAGGGAGATCTCTGAGACCCCGCTGCTGCCACCATGAGCTCAGAAAACCTTGGAAAATGCTCAGGTAGTCAGCTGCCTTTTTTCTGTCCAGTTCTGCATGTGACCCAGAATTGAGGGTGGTTCTTCCAGGCAGAGTTAACCCACATAGGAATCAAGAACCAAGAAGAGGACGGATAAGCATCCTGGAGCCCCCCAGAGGGGCCACGTGGAGTTCCCAATGGGGGAGTGTCCACAGAGCCTCTTTCCCAGCCCTCTCCTTAGGGAGCCACTAGCTAGGTGCTCACTTCCTCCCCCACTGCCTTCTAGCAAGTGACTCAGAAGTGAGGCCAGGACAGCCCATGGGGAGGGGGACAGCAAAGAGAGTCCCCAAGGCCAGATGGGGCAGCAAGGGGAGGTCCCCCAGGGTCCCTGGAGCTCCTCCTGCCCTCTCCCTTGGCCTGGGTCTACTCCTGTTCCCAGGCCCTGGGCATCACCACAGACACCTTTTCTCCAGCACTTGCCCTGCCACCTGCCCAGCCGCTCTGCGAGGATCAGCGGACCCTGAACTGAACCCCAGTCTGATCTTTGCCAGCTCCCACCTGGAGGGGAGGGATGATGGGGTTTCACACAGGATCACATCTGGCTCCACCCCTTCACTGCCCATCCTGAGTGTCTCTGATCAGTAAGATGAAGCCTCTCACATGGTAGTCTTATTCAACTACAGGTGGCCCAAAACCCTTTTTTAAAATCAGGTAGCATCGGGTTTATAACTTTCTATAAGTTTCATGTGTACAACATTATATTTCTACTTCTGTATATGCTGCAGCGTGCTCACCACCAAAAATCACTTGCAAAAATCCCTCTAGGTGTACTGTATGGTAGAATGAAGAAATCACAGGAGTTTAAAATAAGGAGGATTCAAGTCGTGTCCAAGAAGTATCTGACACTTGACCTTGAATTACACCTCTGAGCTTTCTGCTCACTGGCCTTGGGCTGTCCCTTATCCTGTCTGAGTCTCACTTTCCTCATCTGTGAAATAAGAATAATGCATCTGTGTGTGCATGTACCAGGAAACACATCTTACATCATGACCCAGCCCCGCCCTCCATATATTATATATATATTTTCCAGTTGCTTGTGTCTTACCTACAATTCCATAACTTCTGGGCTTCCCTGGTGGCTCAGATGGTAAAAGAATCTGCCTGCAATGCAGGAGACCCAGGTTTGATTCCTGAAGAAAGAAGTTGCAACCCACTCCAGTATTCTTGCCAGGGGAATTTCATGCATAGAGGAGACTTGCGGGCTACTGTCCATGGGTCACAAAGAGTTGGACAGGACTGAGTAACTAACACTGAGCAATTCCATAACCTCTAGATCCCTGAAATCACACGGGGATTTTGGTAACTCATTTGAGCAGTGATCTTGCTCTGTACTGATCTGAGGCTATTTATTGTCATTACATTCTTTATCACATTTAATGTGAATATTCTTTTGTTTCACTACCAAAACATGAAAGCAGTCATTTATAGGGTGCTGCCACAAGTAGTAACTAACAAAACACATCCCTTGTATTCCATCTCTTTGTGTGTGTGTGTGTGTGTGTGTGTGTGTGTGCTCAGTTGTTCAGTTGTGTCTAAATCTTTATGGCCTCGTGGACTGTTGTCTGCCTGGCTCCTCTGTTCTTGGGATTTTCCAGGCAAGCAAGCTGGAGTGGGTTGCTATCTCCTACTCCAGGGGATATTTCTGACCCAAGGATCAAACGCATGACTCTTGCATCTCCTGCATTGGCAGGCGAATTTTTACTACTGCATCTCCTGGGAAGCCCTCCTTCTCTTTCTGAAGGTTTAAAATTGTAGATTCCTGAAGACACCTAAATTCCAGGATTAAATAATTATTTCTGGAGGTTTGAAAGTCCCAGATCAAGGTCGTAGTGGTTTCTGGTGAGACCTCTCCACCTGTTTTGTAAATTCTAACTGCCTTCTCTCTTTGTCCTCACATGGCCTTTCCTCTGGGGGAGAGGGAAGGAATAGAGAGAGAATCTGGTGTCTTCTTTTCTAATAAAGACATTAAACTTATTGGATTAGGGCCCCACACTCATGACCTCATTTTACTGTAATTACCTCCTTAAAGGCCCAGTCTTCTAATATAGTCATCAGGGGGTTAAATCTTCAACATATGAATTGGAGGGTGGGAGGGAAACAGTTTCATCCATAACCCAAGGTTAGTCTGCCAAGAGTGCCTAGGTGATTGCTGTTCAAGAAAATGAGTTTTAACTAATTTATACTAAATACCATTTTTTTAATGCGCTATAGAATTTATTGCTGATACCATGTTATGATAACAAAAGCAGATCATCCTTAAGGCATCAGATTTGTTTATTAGTTTAAACAAAAATATATGATCCCTGTCACACAAAGAGATAATTTTAAATTTACTTGGACGTTAAACCAATCAATACATATATATTTGGAAACTATGCACCTGATGTGCTAAGTCCTTTCAGTCACGTCTCACTCTCTGTGACCCCATGGACTATAACCCATCAGGCTCCTCTGTCCATGGAATTCTCCAGGCAAGAATACTGGAGTGGATTGCCATTCCCTTCTCCAGGGAATCTTCCCAACCCAGGGATCAAACCTGCATCTCCTACACCTTCTGCATTGTCAGGCAGGTTCTTTACCACTAGCACCACCTGGGAAGCCCAACTGTGCTCCTAGTATCATATCATACCAGAGATAAGGCTGCTGTCCTCAGAGAGTACATGGATCACTGGTAATCAATCCTGAACTTAGTAAATAGCATAAAATATTGGGGAATATTGGAAAGCTAACAGATTTCTCTGGACATTGTTTATCTTGCCCCTCTGAAAGACTTATAGATCTAGATGAGATTAGTTTGGAAAAGAGGTCTTGTTTAGTTCAGAGAATCTTCAAAGAGTTCAGTATAGTTGTGGACTAATCAGAGACTAAAGAAACTTTATAAGGAGAAGTAGACTTGGAAATCAAGTGATCCTCTTTTGAATTAGCATGTTTTAGTCAAAGGTATGGAATTAATGATAAGCATCGGTTAGGAATCTGTAATGTCCTCCAATGCCAAGTGACCACTAGCATCCTGTTTCCCCTTATGATGATTCCTTGATGAGAGGTAGAAGGCATAAAGAATATTGCCAGCTATAAAATAAACTACAGTCCAACACCTATGATAGCTAAAAAGAATTTTTTTTTAAATAGAAGAAACTCACTGAATCAAATGAATGCTAAGCAGAGCAAACACAGTGTACTCAAAACTGAGGTAAGAAACCTTTAATTACACAGGAAATCAATGGAAGGATTAATCATTTGAAGAGAAGATTTGTTTTTCCATAGCCCCACAGCTATGAATGATATCTTCATGAGCCTGGGCTGCCTTCTCCAGTGAATACCGGGGACCTATTACTGGTTTCCACCAACCAATTTCCATTCTGGTTTGGAGGGCTGCTGCAAATTGCTGAAATGCTTCTTGAAGGATGAATGGAGAGCTACTGCTTTTTTTTTTTTTTTTTTTTTGAGAGCTACTGCTTTTATGCTAGATTCCTTTGTCATGGATCCTGTGGGTTTATTTCAATAGGACCTCTGTGGCCAACAACTATTCCTCGTCCTCCATGTGACAAAAATTCAAATCATCACTAAGACTGACATTAGCAAATATTTCAATAATCACATCAACTTTTTTTCACCAACAGATTTCTTAATTTTATCAATATAATTAGCTTCTTTGTGATTAAACACTTCATGGGCTCCATTTTGGAAAGCAATCTTTTGTCCTTTCTTAGTAGTAGCTGTGCCCAAAATCTTTAAGCCATAAGCTCTAACCATTGGGCTTATTGCTCTTCCAGCTCCTCCACTAGACCCAGAACACTTCCTCCAGCTTTCACGGACACTGTGGAGCAGACTCGATGAGCAGTAAAACATGAGATGCTGATGGCAGCTCCTTGTTTAAAATCCAGTTTTTTGGGGACACACGTGAACAGTGTGATGGGCTGCCAAAGCAAACTCGGTGTAGCCCCCAGAGATCATCCTGGTAGTGAATGTCACCTTTCTTGAAAGCAGATACGTTCTCTCCAGCAGCTTCTACTATCCCGGCCACATCTCAGCAAGGAGTATAAGGTAGAAATGGTATTATACTGTGAGTGCCAGAGTGGATATATGCGTCCACTGGGTTTACACCACATGCATGGACTTTGTTAGAACCTGGTGGTCTTTCAGAATTGGTACAGCAACATCCAACTGGAGTTTCAGCACTTCGGATCCACAAAATTCAAAAACTCAAATAGCTCTCACCAACTTCTATCCTGTCACCATAGTGATCTAGATACCTGTTCTAGGCTGGAAAATCAAAATCTGCAAGCCCAGATTCCACAGGGTTTTTAAAAAAAAAGCTACTCAATACCATTTATTATCCACCACACATTTTTCTGGGCTTTCCCGGTGACTCAGACACTAAAGAATCTTCCTGCAACACAGAGACCTGGATTTGATCCCTGAGTCGGGAAGATCCCCTGGAGGAGGGAACGGCTACCCACTCCAGTATTTTTGCCTGAAGAATTCCATGGACAGAGGAGCCTGGCGGGTCCATGGGGTCGCAAAGAGTCAAAGAGCACTGAGCGACAAACGCTTTCCCTTTTTCACTTCACCAGTTCTAACCTTATTCCCTTTCCTCTCATCTAGATATTGAGATCTTTTTTGAGGATGTTGTTGAGTGTCTCTGGGACATACTGAGCAGGGAGGAACTGCTTCTCCTGCTGACTGAATTCCTGAGGAAAATTGAGGCAAAGGCTGGTTTGTCCAGGTAACCTGCACAGGTTATCAGGAAGGTCACCCACAACCCCCAGCACCAGGCTAGTCTCCTCCTGGCAGGCACACCTCCTCTAAGCAGGACCCTATGGTGGGGGCTGAGGATGTTCCTTCTCAACATCTCGTAAAAAATGTTTCCTCCATGTCATTTGCTGGTAGTGAACAACCTTGAATTGACAAAAGATGAAACCTGCAAGAAAGGAGCAGGTTATGTGACCTTGGACATGTTACTGAACTACGCTCTGCTTTAGTTTCTTCATCTGTCCAGTTAACTGTGAGAACACTGAGATTATGCATGCAAACAGCTTCCCATAATGACTGACACAGAGTAGGTATTCAGTCAATATTAACATTTTAAAAACTTGCTGGGAAGAGACAGGGGCCAAGAGTCTTCTTTCTGGTGATGAGAATCAAGCAGAATTCCTGACGCTATCGTTTGTATTACTCAGGCTTCTGCCTGAAGCCTTTCTATTCCCCATCTTAGGAATTGTACCAAACGATTGTATCAAACCAAACAGCAGGATCCTGCTGGCCCATAAGGCAGAGAGGCTAGAGAAGAACTGGTTGGAGCTGGATGGATCCTGGATCTAGTGCTGCCCAACTCTGGAGCTCTGTGCTTATATGTTAGAGTCTCAGACTTGCCTGTGTTCAATGGGAATAGCAGTTCAGTCTGATGGACTATGTTCATGGCCTCAGAGTGAACCGTAGGGTCAGAGGTGGGGAAGCAAGGACCAGGGAGGCCTAGACCAGAGTCAGACCCAGGGGTCAGAGTGGAGCAGAAGGTCCAGGCTGGAGGACTAGTAGGCAGGCTTGGGCAGCAGGACCAGGACTAGAGTGAGGAGAGTGGGCCCCAAGGACACAGAACTGAAGAGGCTGTGACCCTAGCAGAGGTCCCCTGAGTGGGAGGGGGGCATTTCTTCCCTCCCTGATGGGATCCCCTCATGCTGGGCTAGAGGGCCCTGGGTGACCGTGTCTGCACACCCTGCCTGGGACTTGGCTTCTCCCTCCATCTGGCACCCTCTTCTAATCTACGTGGAGCCGCCTGACAGTGGAAGGCCGTGTGGCTCAGTGAGCCCTCCAGGGTCATAGTGAGGGGCTGCGATTGTGTGTCATTTGAGGGATTCTGAGGAGCCTCACGCATCCCCACCCAAGAGGACACACTCCTCCATTAGCTGTGCAAGTGCAGGTCTCCTCAGGCTCAGCCGTTCAGATGGATGTTTCCTCGTCTTTTTTAGAGGTTCTACAAAGCTGCGCATGACCTTGGTGTGCAGGCTCATGAGGCTGTTACAAATTAACATGTGACCCCTGAGAGGTCAGGCGCATTGCGTGCTGGGTCAGGAGTCAGTGAGGTGGGCTGCAGAAGCCAGGGGATCCAGCAACACATCTGATCTCCAGGCAGCTGGGGCAGTGGATGGACTCAGGGACCTTCTGCTGGGAAGGTCAAGGGCATAAGTCTTAGAAGACAGCAGATGGCAGACTAAAGGACTGTTAAGGTGCCTCCTAGTTCTGAGTTTGGGCTTTTTTTTTTTTCTTCTACAAATTCTAAGTCACAGAGACAGCCAATCTGCAAAGGGTGAGGGCATAGTGCCCAGGACTATGCTTTCATTTGAACCAATGGCATATTTGGGGGATCCCCAAAACCACCCTCAGGTTTGAGAATTCCCTATAGAACAGACAGGACTCACTGAGAGCCATCATGATCCCAAATGTATTACAGGAAGCCTGTGGGTTTCTATCAGCCACAGGGCAGAGTCTGGGTTGATTTCACCCCTGAAGCTTCGATTGTCCCCAGGATGCATTACTGTTCTGGAGCTCAGCGAGTGGCAGGTCACACGAAACACTGCCTGCCAGGGACACTCACCCATTAAAAACAAATTATCCTGACTTGTGGTCTCCAGCCCCTCCCAGAGGTCAGACGAATGTCCTAGAGTCCAGCTCCTTCAGAGGTCAGAACTGACACCATATGACCCAGAGGCCCTATCATACATCTCATCAGACTGTCCAGTGGCAAGAGGCCCAGGCAGACGAGGACATTCACATCAGCCAGAATATTCTAGGGGCTTAGAGACCACTTCCCAGTAGCCAAGGGCAAAGAAATATTGACTCCTCACTACACACCGAGGCCCTTGAATACAAGTTTTCTGCTCCAATCCCACTTCTCTTTATTTGTGGAGTTCCCAACCTACCGACTCTTTGGAAGTGATGATGTTCACCTGTCTCTGAGGCATCTTTACCAAATATCTATTTTTTCTTTTTGGCTGAGCCACATGGTTCATGGGATCCTAGTTTCACAATCAGGGATTGAGTTATATCCGGGGCAGTGAGGGTGCAGAGTCCAAACCTCTGGACCACCATGGAATTCCAGCAAATACCTCTCTTAAGTTACCAGGATCCTAAGGTGACATTTGCTGATCGGTTCCAAGATTAAACGGGGCTTCTCTGGTGGCTCAGATGGTAAATAGTCTTCCCGCAATGCGGGAGACCTGGATTCAACCCCTGGGTCGATCAGATCCCCTGGAGAAGGAAATGGCCACCCTCTCCAGTACTCTTGCCTGGGAAATCCCATAGACAGAGGAGCCAGGCAGACTGAAATCTATGGGGTCACAAAGAGTCAGACACGACTGAGCGACTTCACTTTCTCTTCTTTCTTTCCAGGATTGTATATGTATACACAAGTATATGAAGCATCTACAAGGTACAAAACCTGTGTTTAATGTTGAAAGTGAAAATTTTACATTTGTAAAATTCTTCTCTAATAGATTTATAATGTTAAATCCATATTTATGCAGAATAGACATTATGGAACCTATTTTGCAGACAAGCAAACTGCCTTTCTAATCCCTTGATCTTCATTGTTACAGGAAAGACGAGGCTGCACTACACAAAAATCTAAATGAATTGAAAGGAGACTTGATAGAGAAGGACCAGGAAACGCTCACAAAAGAGGAGCTGGACAGGAGGAGGTTTCTGAAGAAGTTTTCTCGGGTGAAGCAGCAGCTGGAGGAGCGCATAGGAAAGCTCCACGAGCTCGCAGACAAGGTTGACAAGGACCACAAGGAGTATACCATCTTCAAAGTGATGGCCCACACCACTGGCGTTGCATCTGGCACCCTGACCCTCCTTGGCCTGGCTCTGGCACCCGTGACGGGGGGGCAGTCTGGCACTCTCGGCCGCTGGGTTCGGGCTGGGAGCAGCAGCTGCTGGGGCAACTGTGTCCACCAGCTACAAGGAAAACGCAAGCAGGTCAGCAGCTGAAACTGAAGCCAATAGCCTGATGGCAACTGGCGTCAAGAAATGGAAGGTGCTCCTAAAGGTACTCAGGAGCAACTCCCGACTTAGATCAACAGAGAAATTGGCAAAAGCTGTGCTACACATTCAAAAAAATATACGTGCCATGGAAACAGGCAAAGACAACCCTGAATTTGCAACCAATGTAAGCCACTACTTGGGCCCTGGGAAAATCATAGTCCCAGGCACCCGGCTGGTAAATAAGGCCTGTTCCATAGTAAATAAAGCCATTACCATGGCTCCAGCAGCTGTCACAGGAGCCTGGATTGTGGGTGCAGCCACCGCAGGTGTCTTTCTCCTGGTGGATGTGGGCTTCCTAGTGAGGGAGTCAATGCACTTACATGATGGTGCAAAGGCAGAGTCTGCTGAAAGCCTGAGGCAGCGGGTCAGGGAGCTGGAGAGGAATTTGCAGGAGCCCAACAATATGTATGAACTTCTGCAGTAGGGCCTGACTCAGCCACCCCCAGAGCAGTGCATGGATCAGGATACACATGGGTCAAGGTGCAGAGGTACCTTGTTAGAGAAAAAAAGGAGAGGGAGAGAAAATTTTTGGAGCTGAGTATCAGGAATTTGGGGTTTCTGCAGCTGAACACAGCAGGTGAGGGATGGATGCTGGATCAGGGAGAGTGAAGGAAGGAACCTGGAGCCTGGATTGAGGGAAGAGGGGGAACTAGAGAAGGGTTGGGGGTGGGGGGAGAGAAACCACTTTTTCCCTTCATACTATGAAATTTTACTTTGTTTTGAGGAATAGCCGATTAACAATGTTGTGAAACAAAACAGTTTCAAGTGAACAGTGAAGGGACTCAGCCATACATCTACATGTATCCATTCTGCCCCCAAATCCCCTCCCATCAGAAACCACTTATTTTGAACTAAAGAAGTCACTGGGGGCAGCATAAAGGGAGAGGCAGGGGAACTAGCAGTGAAAGACCAGGAACATGAATGGGTTGAAAATGAGAGAAAGTCAAAGAGCTAGGATTGTTGGAATCCAGGACAAGTAGCAGGGGCTCCACTAACACCCTCACCAAGGTCTGATGCCCCAGCAAGAAGAGTCTCCCCCTGCTGGTGGCCTCTAGCCCTACTTCTCCAGCATCAACTCACCTTTGATCCCAGCAGCTAATCTTAATTAGCCAGTGACTTCTTTTGCTTGCTTGTTTCTTTAATGTAAGTACAGCTGATTTACAATATTGTATTAGTTTCAGATATACAGCAAAATGTTTCAGTTATCGCATATTATGTTTATATCTGTTCTTTTTAATTTTTTCATTACAGCTTATTACAAGGTACTGAATGTTTTCCCCTGTACATTAAGTTCTTAGGGTTTTTTTAAAATCTATTTATGTACGGTAATGTGCGTCTTTTAATCCCACACTCCTAATTTACCCCTCTGCCCCTTTGGTAACAATAAATTTGTTTTCTGTGACTCTGAGTCTGTTTTGATTTGTTAATAACTTCATTTGTATTCTTCTTCTTCTTTTTTTTTGGCCATGCCAAGCAGCTTTTGGGATCTCAGTTCCCTGACCAGGGAATGAATAGGGCTTCCCTGGTGACTCAGCTGGTAAAGAATCCACCTGCAATGCGGGAGACCTGGGTTTGATTCCTGGGTTGGGAAGGTCCCCTGGACAAGGAAAAGGCTACCCATTCCAGTATTCTGGCCTGGAGAATTCCATGGACTATATAGTCCATGGGGTCAAAAAGAGTCGGACA